CTGAAGGCGAGGTCGAGGGCGGCTCGCGTGACTTAGGGCATGGCGGGAAGGCGGGGCCGAGAGCCGTTTGACGGTGGCAAGACGGGGAGGGCGTGGCTGAGGAAACAGGGCGTAGCCGAGGGCGACTCGCGGGGCAGGGCCGAAGGTGGCTCGCGAGACATGGCGCGAAGGTGTGGTCGAGGGCGGCTAGGGTGACCTGGAGTGTACAGGAGAGCAAGGCCGAGGACGTGGCGGGAGCAAGATTGAGGGCGGCTAGCGGGGTGGAAGCGTGGCCGGCGGCGTGGCGTGAGGGCTGAGCCGAGGGCGGCTCGCGGGGCAGAGGGCGTGGCGCGAGGGCGGACTCGCGAGGCGGAGGCGTGTGTGAGGGAGAGGTGTGTGGTGCGGGAGGCGGGAGGCGGGAGGGAGGGGCCGAGGGCAGAGGTGGGACCGAAGGCAAGGTGCAGGCGGCTTTGGGTGGAAAGGTGAGGCCGAAGGCCTCTTGTGGGCTGGGGGCGGGGTCGTGGTAGAACGAGGCTTGAAAGTGGTAAGGAGAGCGGAGGGTGGGTTGCGTGTGGAAAGGAGGGACGGAGGGCGAGACGCGCGGCGCGGGCGTCGGGACCAAGGCTGTTCGCGGGCCGCCGTGGTGGGACCGAAGGCGGGGCGCGGGCGGATTTTGTATGGAAGGCGAGGCCGATGGCGGAGCGCACGACTCGAGGGTGGAGCCAAGCGGCTTGTGGCTTGGAAGGAGGGGCCGAGAGCAGCTCGAGGGGGGCAAGGGGGGCGAGGGCGGCTCTTGGGACGCCGTGGCAGGGCCGATGTCCGGGGGCGAGGCTGAGGGCGGTCGGGTGCGCAGGGGCGTGGCGGAGGGCGGTGCGCAGGCGGGGCCGAGGGGCGGGGCCCAGGGCAGCTCGGAGGAGGCGGTGCGAGGCGGTTAAACCAGCGTCGCGCGCTTCCCGGGCGTGCGTGGAAGTGGAGGCGTCGAAGTTCCTTTCCTACGTGATTTCTGCTTTAGAGTTTACTTGGAGTTTTTCCATAACACTAAATTAATAAATATTTACCTATACTTTATCAAAATATAAAGTCCAGAGCCAAGGGCATTTAAGAATGTAACATACCAGTTCATTCATTTATTCATTCATGCAACAAATATCTATTGAGCACGTATACATCAGGCACTGTTCTAAATGCTGGAGATAAAGCAATGAGAGGGACCACAAAGGTTCCTGCTAGCATGGAGTTATATTCCAAAAGGAATATACTCATGCAGCATATAATTTAATATG